TCATAAAGAAATAAAGATTTCTTCCACTCCATAGGAATTATTTCATAGCAAGGATGAATGGGGAGTAGGTATGGAGTGTGGCCTGTGAGGCTTTTGATGTATGCCCATCAGCCTTTTTTTTCATTGGCACAAGGGTTTCAGACCCATTTTATACACTCCCATAACTAGCCCGGCAATCAACCATTTCTTCAAGGAACTTATATAGGTTCACTCCCTGGTTGCTCAACTGGTAAAGAACCCACCTGCCAAAGCAGGAGATGCAACAGACAAGGGTTCAATCCCTGGGTCAGAAAGATCTCCTGGAGAAGGGAATGGCAATCTGCTGTAGTATTGTTGCCTGGAAATTTGCATGGACAGAGGAGCCTGGCAGGCTACAGTCCATGAGGTTGCAAAGAGTAGGACACAACTGAATACCCATCACGCACAGTGGAAAGTGGAATTTGGAAACCAAATTCTGGGTAGGAGGCATGATCATTGCTACTGGGATATTACTGCTATAGGCTCTTTGCATACACATTATCTATCTGTCCCTCTATCTATCATCTATCTATTATCTAATCTCCATACTGATACTTATCATTTCAGTCCCATGCCATAGGATTCCTTCTTGCCATCTCTTTATTTTTATAACTTCTTTATCTCACAATAAGAAACCTACTTCTATTATCTATAATATATATATATATTTCCTCAATCTTAGAATACACAGAAATTGCTAGCCCAACTACTATGAAAAATATATCTCACTAGAATCCAATATTTGTTTATACTTCTTTTTATCTTTAGCCTAAGAGTCAGTTCAGTTCAGTTCAGTCGCTCAGTCGTGTCCAACTCTTTGCGACCCCATGAATCGCAGCACGCCAGCCCTCCCTGTCCATCACCAACTCCCAGAGTTTACTCAAACCCATGTGCATAGAGTCGGTGATGCCATCCAATCATCTCATCCTCTGTCTTCCCCTTCTCCTCCTGCCCCCAATCCCTCCCAGCATCGGGGCTTTTTCCAATGAGTCAACTCTTCGCGTGAGGTAGCCAAAGTATTGGAGTTTCAGCTTCAACATCAGTCCTTCCAATGAACACCGAGGACTGATCTCCCTTAGGATGGACTGGTTGGATCTCCTTGCAGTCCAAGGGACTCTCAAGAGTCTTCTCCAACACCGTATATATCATCAAAAGCTAGTGTTCCAAGAATCCTTGGATTACGGTTTTAATTTGAAACGCAGTTAGGTTCACTTGCTTTAGTTTGTATTTTATTTGGGTTTTTTTTTCCTATATCTTTCCTGAATTTTTTTTTCTTTTTTGAGTGTATGCAAAAGACTTCCAATAGTCGGAACTACACAAAAGACAGACATGCTTAGACAAGCATCACTCCTCCATAGCTCCTTCCGGCTTCTTCCCACCGTCTTTCTCACCCTAATCTACTCATCGTCTATTGGTAAAAAATTTTTTCAGTTTCTAAGTTATTTGGGCTGTGTTTCTTTTTGTACAAATGAGCAGAAACATGTATATTTTCTTATTTCTCCAAATCTCTTTCATAAGAATAACATACCACATATTCTCTTGTGTATTTGCTCTTTTTAAATTTACAGTCCATCCTGGAGATCAGTTCATAGAGTTTCATTCCTTTCTACCTCCGCATAGTCTCCCATGTATAGATTGGCCATAGTTAATCCAATCATTCTCTGTGTGAGCATTTAGGTTATCTTCAATATTTTTTAATTACAATAATATAATTAGTAGTTTTGTGTACATACATTCTTATATGTTGGAACTGTATATTTAGGGTAAGTTTCTAGAGAGGAAATGCTGGGCTATAGATAATTTTGTTAGATATTGACAAATTCCCCTCCAAGTTTATACCAATTTGCATTTTCAGCATCAAAGTAAGAGAGAGCTTACTTCAACCCAGTCTCAACAACAGAATATCTTTCTTTTTTTTTTTTTGTGGTCAATCTCATAGGTTAAAAAATGGTTTCTCAGTATAGTTTTAATTTGCATTTCTGTTCATTATGAGTGAAGATGACTGTCTTTTCAAATGTATGTTTTTGTGTGTTTGAATTGTCCATGTCTTTTACCTATTTTTCTATGAAGGCTTTGATCTTTTTCTCCCTTCAGTTATTTTTTAAATTATTTATTTATTATGCTGCGCTAGGTCTTCAGTGCCTTGCAAGTCCTTTCTTTAGTTGCAGCGAGTGGGGACTTCTCTTGTTGCAGAGCACAGGCTCTAGGGCTTCCATAGTTGCAGCATGCGGTCTCAGCAGTCGAGGCTCTGAGGCTCTAGAGCGCAGGCTCAGTCGTTGTGGCACCCTGGTTTCCTTTTTCTGCAGCATGTGGAATTTTCCTGGTACAGGGGCTGAACCTGTGGCCCCTGAATTGGAAGGTAGATGCTTAACCACTGGATCACCAGGGAAGTCCTTTGCCTTTTGTTTTTGCTTATTGTGTTCTGTGTCATGCAAATGAGCTTGTTTTGTTTTTTTTTAGCCAACATTATTGATCTTTTCTTTTATTGCCTCTAGATAGTTAGAAGCCTCCCGTATACTCAGGTTACCAGGAATTCACTCGGTTTTCTTCTAACACCTGTATGGTTTCATATGCTTACATTTTCATCTCTGCTTTATTTAGAGTTTTTATGATTGCTGTAAGGAATGTATATAACTTTTATCTCTTTCAAATAGCTATGCAATTATACTAGCACCTTTTGTTAAAAAGCCCTTTTCCTGGAGCTACAACCTTTATCATATGCAAAATTTCCATACTTACTTGGGTCTATTTCTGGACTTTCAATTTCAGACACTGGTTTGGCTGTCTATGTACCAGCTCTGCACTGTTTTAATTATACAGACTTTATAGTATGTGTTAATATCAAATATGGGAAGGGTTATCTATATATAAATGGAGGAACCTCTATATATTATCTGTGAAAAAATTTCTTTCCAAGATACCTAAATGTCATAGGTTCACTGAGTAACATCAACAGCAAAATAGAAAACATCAGTAATACCTGGAAACTTCAGTAAATGAAATATGAACTACCACTGATTCTACCAGCATACTTCAATTTCTCATAAAAATTCATATTCTCCTTCTATAAGAATCTGTGATGCTTTGGTTCCACTCCATTTATTCTTAGTATCACACTTAGCTTATCCAGGACAACTTCTGTGTAAGAGGGGACCATAAAATCTCATGACTAACACTCATGCCAGAGTGATGATAACGGGTTGGTTTGATATGGAATACAGCTCTTATCACATAAATGACCTTCACACAATGAGAGGGCAACATTTTAAACTACAAACCTGGTACTTCTTGCTCTGAAATAAATTCTCCAAGGTCAAACGTACTTAGGATTTTTTTGTTTCCCTAATTTTAATGATTTAGAAGGAAGAATGTTATTTAATTGTCAACATTTTTACTTACCCAAAGTCTGTAAAATTTTAACTGCTGCTTTGCCCTGAGTTTGCTACTAAGTATGTATATACATCAGATAGTTTGGACTCAGGCCTTGCATCTGATTTAAACAGCAGCAGGTGTTGGGACTTCCCTGGTGGTCCAGTGGTTAAGAATCTGCCATCCAAACCCTCTTACACTGTTGGTGGGAATGCAAACTAGTACAGCCACTATGGAGAACAGTGTGAAGATTCCCTAAAAAACTGGAAATAGAACTGCCATATGACCCAGCAATCCCACTGCTGGGCATACACATCGAGGAAACCAGAATTGAAAGAGACACGTGTACCCCAATGTTCATCGCAGCACTGTTTACAGTAGCCAGGACATGGAAGCAACCGAGATGTCCATCGGCAGACGAATGGATAAGAAAGCTGTGGTACACACACACAATGGAATATTTCTTAGCCATTAAAAAGAATGCATTTGAATCAGTTCTAATGAGGTGGATGAAACTGGAGTCTATTATACAGAGTGAAATAAGCCAGAAAGAAAAACACCAGTACAGTATACTAACACATATATATGGAATTTAGAAAGATGGTAACGATGACCCTATATGCGAGACTGCAAAAGAGACACCGATGTAAAGGACAGACTTTTGTGGGAGAAGGCGAGGGTGGGGTGATTTGAGAGAATAGCATTGAAACATGTATATTATCATATGTGAAACAGATTGTGAGTCCAGGTTCGATGCATGAGGCGGGGTGCTCAGGGCTGGTGCACTGGGATGACCCTGAGGGATGGGATGGGGAGGGAGGTGGGAGGGACGGTCAGGATGGGGAACACATGTACACCCATGGCTGATTCATGCCAATGTGTGGCAAAAACCACCGCAATATTGTAAAGTAATTTGCCTCCAATTAAATTTTTTTTAAATGGCAAAAAGAATAAATAAAATAAAATTGGATTAAGAAAAAAGAATCTGTCATCCAATGCAGGAAATGCAGGTTTGATCCCTGGTTGGGAAACTAAGATCCCACACGCTGCAGAGTGACTAAACCCATGTACTGCAACTAATGAGCTCATGAGCCACAAATAGAAGCCGCAATGAAAAAAATCCCACAAGATGCAATGAAGATCCCGAGTATTGCAACTAAGACCTGATGCAGGCAAATAAGTAAATTTTAAAAAATAACAGAATAAACAGCAGCAGGTGTCAACCCAGACAGATGCAAATCTTAAGTGGTCCCACTGTGGCTATACTTCAATGATCACTCTTCAGTAGTTACTCAGTAAGTCTGTAAGATAAAATTGTTCATATTTGAATTTATTTGGGGATCACGTAGCATTGGGGATTCATAGAAATCACTTCAGTAAGATATTTTGAGATTGTATATCTCCATTTATATTAGCAATATAAAACTCTTCAGAAAGTAAAAATAGATCCTAGATGCATTCTAAAATTATGTACACACACATACATATATATGTCATACAATCTATTCTTAACCTGTTGCAGTGGTATATTTGTTTTGAAAGACAGTAAAATCTAAGATGCCTGTATTGAGCTTGGTCATGTTAATTTTAATGATTTCTTGTTTAATTTACAGTTGGCAACCAGTGGATAAATTATATATCCTTCTGTGGTCTGAGAACACATGCAGAGCTTGAAGGAAACCTAGTCACTGAGCTTATCTATGTCCACAGCAAGTTGCTAATTGCTGATGACAACACCGTTATTATTGGTGAGTACTTGGTCTCTAATCGCGTTCCTTGTCAGTTGACTTATCTCATGCAAAAATCATGCTTTTTATTCCTTTGAAGCTTTATTTGCAGTTGAGAGTATCAGTATCTAAAACATTTCTGAAGGAATCTTTTTCACTTCTGTCCTTTCTAATCCCTGTTTTTATCTATGAAGTAACGGAGGCACAGAACAATTAAATGGCCATTGTGCAAATTACAGTGTCCAGAGACAGCAGTCTAACCCAGCAGGGCCGTAATCAGTCTGCGCGCATTAATTCTTTATTATTCCCTTTTTAAAAATTTTGAACACAAGTACTAGATTTCAGGGACTGGAAGGGAGAGGTTTGGGGAGGGAAGTGTGTTATAAATGGGTACCTGGTAGCCTGCTGGTACTTTGTATGTGCTCCCACCACATCCACCTCACCATTACCTCAGATCCAAGGTTTTTGCAAGAGTCAGGATCGGAAGGATGTTAAAATATCACTACATTTATGCTTGGAGCTTCCCTGGTAGCTCAGTGGTGAAGAACTGGCCTGCCGATGCAGGAGATGTGGGTTTGATCCCTGGATTGGGAAGATCCCTTGGAGAAGGAAATGGCAACCCACTCCAATATTCTTGCCTGGGAAATCCCATGGACAGAGGAGCCTGCCAGGCTACAGTCCATGGGGTCACCAAAGAGTTAGATGCGACTGAGCATCCAACAACAGTGTCTATGCTTACCATTTTTCCCCCGGAGTCAGAGTCTTGGGTGTTACTAATCAGGGTACAGAGACCAGCTTGTGTAGTAGTAATGCAGTGTAGCCCTAGACTAGGGTCTGCAGTCTTTTCCTGCAGCCCTCACCCCATGGACAGATTCAGGGCAGTTACTGGTTGTACTTCTACCCAGATTAGATCAGCCTGCTGAGAAGGGTGGGTTTGTAGCTCCATTCTTTTGTATGCTTGGAAAGCTTCATTTTCCCATCGTGGGGTTGGTTTGCCTTCTAATATCATGTTACATGAACATTGAAAAGTCAAAATGAGAAAATGAATATTAATAACCAGCCAGATAAATGAATTGACAAGGGTGAGGGGATGTTACTTAAGAGATATGCTGTGTCCCACTGTTGGGCATTCCACTCATCTGTTTTAAATAAAATGTAGTTTCTCAGCTATAAGATATCTATTCTTTAAGAAACTAAGTGTCATGGAGTGGTCTGAAAAAAATTTAACGGTAAATATACCTTTTCCATTTCTATCCTCCACTGAGAAAAGAAAGAAAAATCTCATACCTAGGAGTAATGAGACTGTCTTCTCTGGAACATGATTTGAAAAGAAAGAAAAGCAGTTCTGAAGCCAGAAAATATGTAGATCACAGTGTGGTGATACACACACACACACACACACACACACATTCTTTTAATACTTCCTGGGCATTTAAGAGAAATATCTTGTGTCTTCAATATCTTGTCCAATAAGGATCGGGGCTCTTTAAGGATTCATTTCTCCTCCATCTCCCCTAATAAACAAGTTTTCTCTTATTTCCCCTAGCTATTCTTGTCTTTGCCTCTTTAGAAGCTAATCTGAGAATATTTTTATATTAAAATTGACAGTGACGATAAGGAAAGGGAAAATATTGATGCTTGCTGAAACGGAAAAACAAACAAAGCAAGCCAGATAAAAGTCAGTTGATCTCTTCAGGGAGATTTCAGAATTCTTGAAGTAAAAATTGACAGATGTAAATATTTTCCTTTTAAAAGTCTTTTTGACTTTCAACCTGCTTTACTTTTACATCAAGTATAAATGCAAAGTAGTTTTTAGTATCTGAGCTAAATAAATCTTTAGAGTTTTTGACTTACTTTCTAGAAAGGTCTTTAAACTCTCAAAAGCTACAGTTTATTTAGACTAGCAATAATTGATCCTTTTTGCATACAGTTATTATCTACTTTCTTGAAACTGAAGATGTGACCTTGGGAGTATGAGGAGGTCTCACTTGCTAGTGTTTAGGGGCTGGATTTCTTTCTCTTATTCCTCAAGGGCAGAACAGATTTCCCTCTGGAAAATCCATGGAAAAATCCATGTATACTTTTGCTCTTTTCACCTCTTTGGGAACTCTGGAAGAAACAGGATTGTTGTTGCTACTCTCAGACATTTGGCCTGTTTAAGTTCATAACACAGAGAACAATGTTTAAAATTCTCAAAGAGGAACTTGAGAAATTAGGTTGAGGATATTTTACAGGTGTTAAGTCATTAAGAGCTTAAAAGAAGTTAAAGTAACCTGTGATTAAATTTTCTAACATGGCAGACTTATGCCAGAGTCACTGAATAATCTATCATAAGAAAAGTGACTAAATGGTTTATCCTCATTTTTTCTTCACAAGGAAATACTTGGTTTCTCACACTGAGATCTCTTTTATGTATAGCTTTAATTATGTCTTACCCCCGGTGGCCCTGTTGGTTCTAAAATCTGTGACCAAGTCCAGTTTTCTAATTCATCTTTTTGGCATGTACCGGAACAGTTACTTTCTTTTCCTAAATAAAACAAGGACTTCCCTGGTGGCTCAGAGGGTAAAGCATCTGCCTTCAATGCAGGAGACCTGGGTTTGATCCCTGGGTGGGGAAGATCCCCTGGAGAAGGAAATGGCAACCCACTTTAGTATTCTTGCCTGGAAACCCCATGGATGGAGAAGCCTGGTGGGCTACAGTCCATGGAGTCACAGAGAGTCGGACACGACTGAGTGGCTTCACTTTCACTATCCTTAAGTAGTTTTTGTCCATCCTGTTAACTAAATGAAATGATTTTTCTTTCTTTCTTTCTTTTGGTTTCACTAATTCACTGCATGGGCTTCCCAGGTAGCACTAGTGGTAAAGAACGTGCCTGACAATGCAGGAGACATAAGAGATGTTGGTTTGATCCCTGGGTTGGAAGATCCCCTCGAGGAGGGCATGGCAACCCACTCCAGTATTCTTACCTGGAGAATCCCACGGACAGAGAAGCTTGGCAGGCTACTATGCCCTGGGTCACAAAGAGTTGGACACGACCAAAGTGACTTAGCATGCCCACATGCAGTCCACTGCACTGCACAATAGGGAGACACAAAACGTGATCACACAGTGCCACTGCCCCACCCATCTCATGGACTACAGGGGCGGCAGCTATTCTTTCACCAAACACCAGAACCATTGGGATGGATGCTGATGAACTGGTGCTGAGAGGCAGTCAGCAAGGGTGATATGTGGGAAACTACATGTAGGGAATGGATCTCAGTGCTTAAAGGCAGGCTCGAGATAAGTGTCTGTAGTTGAAAGGCTACCCCGGTAAAGAGCGGGTCCCATCGGTCTCAACCCTGACTGCCTTAGGATTGCCTAGTGACTTTTTGTGTGTGTGTGTGTGGACTATTCTTTTTTAATTAATGTATTATATGTAGTAAATGGCACAAAACTTCAGTGTACAGCTTAATGAATATTCACACATGTTTACATTTATGTAACCACCACCCAAAACAAGATACAGAATATTTCCATCACTCTGATAGGAGTCTTCCTATCTCCACTCAGTTAATCAGATGTTTTCACTGTCACCACGGAACAATTTTGAACACAGATGGGTTTGAGTTCAGATAAATGGAACTGTCATTTAGGGGAAAGTTTATTTATGTCTGCAGTTTACTTTCAAATAGATCCTCTCCCCCCCAAAAAAAAAGTTGGGTTAATTGATAAAAGGATGGAGTGATATTAGGAGAAAATACTAATAATGCCTGGTTCCTACTTCCAGAAATTGTGATTAATTGGTCTGGTTTAGGGCCCAGGGATCAAGGTTTTTTTGCTTTCTGTTTTTGTTTTGGCACCGTTATCTTTTGAAAGCTTCCTAGATGATGCTTCTGTGCAGCCAGACTGAGAACTCTTGAACTGGAGACACAGGGATCACAAGCGGTTAGAAAGTGCTGAGGAGCCTGCTAAGGACGTCCCTGGTGGTCCAGTGGTTAAGACCCTGCACTTCCAATGCAGGGGGTATGGGTTTGATCCCTAGTCAGAGAACTAAGATCCCACATGCTGCATGGTGCAGCCAAAAATAAATAAGTGAATTAATTAAAACACACAGGCCTAAATAGGGTAGAGTTGGTATATTCATTGTCTAAATCTGCTGTAGCAAATGACCACAAACTTAGTGACTTGAAACAGCACAAAATTATTATCTAAAAGTTATGTAAGTTAGAAGTCCAACATGGATCTCACTGGGTTAAAATCAAGGTGTCAGCAAGGCTGTGTTCCTTCTAGAAGCCTCCCAGATGGAGCTAGTGTAAAGAACCTGCCTGCCAATGCAAGAGATGTAAGAGATGTGAGTTCGACCCCTGGGTCACAACCCACTCTAGTATTCTTGCCTGGAGAATCTCGTGGACAGAGGAGCCTGGTGGGCTACAGTCCATGGCGTCACAAAGAGTAGGACACAACTGAAGCAATTTAGCACAAAGGAGAATCCATTTCCTTGCCTCTTCCAGCTTTGAGTGGCTGCCAGCATTCCTTGGTTCATGGTCCCTTTCTTCTGTCTTTGAAGGCAGCAATGTTACATCTCTTTTAAAGTCCTCCAAGTATCAACCCATTCTTCTGTAACCACATCTCTCTCTGAATTCCCTTTACTTTTAAAGACTTGTGATTATACTGAGCACCTAGATAATCTAGGATAATGTCCTTATTTTTATGGTCAGTTGATTAGCACCATCTATTAATTCCATCTGCAGCCTTAATTCCCCTTTACCATATAATATAACATACAAACTTTGGGTATTACAACATAGTCATCTCTAGGGGTCATTCGGAGAAGGCAATGGCGACCCACTCCAGTACTCTTGTCTGAAGAATCCCATGAACGGAGGAGCCTGGTAGGCTGTAGTCCATGGGGTCGCACAGAGTCGGACACAACTGAAGCGACTTAGCAGCAGCAGCAGGGGTCGTTATTCTGTCTATCACAGGAGGATTAACAATTTCTTAAACAAGACATTTAAAAAAGCAAAATCACAAAGGAAAT